GTGCTCAAACTTGTCCCTGCACAAACCCAAGAACCCTCTTGACCTTCAGGTCTGAGCCCAGTTTTGGGATCTACTTTCTGTTGTCACTGTTACCACACAATCGATCAATCAGATTCCTTGGCATTGACCTAACTAAATTGAAAACTTTTGTCCACACAGAAACCTGTGTATGAATGTTTATAGCAGGCTTATTCATAATTGCTAAAACCTGGGAGTGACCAAGAAAAGATGTCCTTCAATGGGAAAATGAATAAACACACTGTGGTACAGCCATGCAATGGAACATTACTCAGCAACAAAAGGAAATAAGTTATCAATCCATGAAAAAACATGCAAGAAACTTTAAATGCATATTGGTAAGTGAAAAAAGCCAACCTGAAAACACTACATACCGCATGATTCTAACTGCATGACATTCTGGAAAAGACAAAACTATGGAGACAGTAAAGAGATCAATGGTTTGAGGGAGAGAGGGAAGGATGAATTGGTAGAGCACAGAGATTTTAGGGCAGTGACACTATTGTGTATGATGCTGGGACAGCAGATGCATATCATTACACATTTGCCAAAACCCAAAGAATATACAACACAAACAGTAAACCGTAATTTAAACTACAGACTTTTTTTCTTATTTCAGGAAATTATGGGGATACAAACATTTTGGTTACATGTTATGACTTTTGCCACATCCCAACCATGATTTGAGATGTGCCCCCCCAACAATGTTTACCACGTCCATTAGTTGTGAGTTTACCCACGCCCAATCCCCATTGCCCCAAAGAATATACTACTGGGTGAGCACCTTGCTGTTGATCAGTCAGTGCCAGTTTGATGGCGAGTACATGTGGAGCCTGTTCTTCCATTCTTGTGATACCTCACGTCAGAGGATGGGCTCAAGCTCTATCCAGGAAAATATAAGAGGTGTTAGATCATTAAACTATAGACTTTAATTAATAATAATGTTATCAAAATTGACTCATCAACTGTAACAAATGTACCACAATATAAGAAGTTAATAATATGGGAAACCAGGGAGGAGGTAGGGGAGGGATGTATGAGAACTCTATACTGTCTGCTCTGTTTTTCTGTAAACCTAAAATTGCTCCAAAAATTAATTTAATTTAATTTTTACTTAATTAAAACATTTTTAATTAAAATTGTAATGACTAATAAAATACATGGTGACTAAAAGTAACATGGCTTTAGTAGCATGGTTTTAAAAATTATATTTGACTCATCACAGTAGCATTTACATACACTAGAGAAATTCAGCATCTTGAGCACACATTTGGATTCATTAATCTCTTACAGTAACTCCACAGACTCAAAAGAATCCAGAGTTTGGGAATCACTGATGAGGGCTTCATAGACTTTTGTTGATTTAATGAATAAAACACATCTCCTTAGGAGATGAGAACACTAGCTGCAGGTCAGTGTTCAAATCTCTCTTTCAAAACTCTGGGGTTTGTAGTATCTTTCTCACTGGATAGAAGGGAAGATTAGGTGATAGACTGTGTGTAAACGCACCTAACTAAATACCTCATACGTCACAGCTGCTCAGCAAATATTAAGCAAATCTGAATCTGGTGTTGCAAAGGAAATCAGTTATCCAGTGCGGGACTGCAGGGACTGACGTTCAGTATCTCTTCCACTCGGATGGGAAGAGATACTGGGCCTCAGGCCCCAGCCCCTTTCTAACGCTTTGGAACCTCATTTCTGTTGCGGGCCAAAATCTTTGTCATCATATGACTGGGTATGGGAAAGAGCTGCCAGTAGCAGTGGGAACAATCTTGGTGACACCCTATCTCACCCACTTTCCCATTTGCCCTCCTACCTCATTTTGTCGTGAACACCTGAAAATTGAGACTCACAGGCAAAACTTTGGTCAGTTTGAAATACATCTCAGTGTTGAAGAAGAAAGAAAAAAGAAATATATCTCAGTTTGAAATACATCTCAGTGTTGAAGAAGAACCTAAAAGCTGTTCTGTCTCTCTGTAGTGATAAACGGCTGAAAATTTATTGAAAGATACTCCAAAATCACAATGTTCTTGTAGAATGAAAATATATATCTATTAAGTACAGCAAAACCTTTATTGCGTTTATTCATTCACAGTGTTTATCCATTTAGCTCCAACCATGTGCAAGGCACAGACAGTGCTGGGTGCTGAGCTGGCTGACTCTGCATAATAAAAATGTCCTTTTTCATGCTGATCCTTGTAACCTTGAGTGCACATGGATCCAACCATTCCCACTTGCTCTACTGCTGGTCCCAGAGCCTCTGCTTTCCCTATTTGTTGGGGAAATCACTGATCTTACCTTTGTAATGGTGAAAGGCCTGGAAACAGGGTACCATGAGAAAAATTCAAGGAACAGAAGGGTTTTAGTTGGTCATAAGAAAACCCAGGAAAGACATAATCTTTGATTTCACAAATCTGAAGGACTGTTACAGGGAAAGAGGGTTTGATAATTTTTTAGTATGAAATCAGGAACAAGAATTATAAACCAATTCTGGAAGCTACAGAGAGATTAATACCATCTCAGCCAGGGAAATGATTTTTTGAATAGTGAGACATTTATGGATATAAAATAGACTGCATCGGTGTGTAGTGACTTCCCCATTACTGCAGGTGTTTAGAGGTTGGGTGATCAACAGACAAAGAGTTTGTAAATGAGATTATTTCAGCAAACTTGGAAACAGGGGAACTGATCTTCATGATTTTACTGCTCACTCTAAATCTGTGTTTATGAGCATTGGCTGTATCCATTGATTTTGGCATTATGGATCAGATTTTTTCCACCTCATAGCTGTGTTTACTCATCATTTAGAGTTTGCAAAGTGCTTTCATTTACATGACCCCATTAACTTCTCAGGACATCCTTTTGAGAAAATTAGTTCAATGATTAATATCCCCATTTTATACTTGAGGGATCTAAAGAAAGAAAAGAGAGCAAATCAGTGATAAAGCCAAGAAAATAATCAGACTTCGATGGGGTCTCACTCTTCCTACTGTGGAATCAGAGACCAAGAACATTAATCTTACTTTCAGAATGAAGAGATAGAGAGTATCAGAATCCAGACAAGGGAGATACGTTTTTTCAAGGGACTAAGAAACTGTCACTGACATCCAAGATGGGAAGGATGTTTTTTCTCTGTAGCTCAGAGAACAGGCAGTAAGGAGTCTTCGAAGTCAACAAACTTGCTACTAATGGGTCAGCTTCTTGGGCTCACAGCAGGCTTCAGGGTAAGGCCAGGCTTAACAGTGACCAGGTGTGAAGAAGACAAGGCCTTTGCCTTAGGGGAAAAGATAAGGAAAGGGGAGGTTGCAGTCTAGGAATAATGTTGAATTGAGAAAGTCCCAGAGGGTGCCTTGAGGAAAAAGATAAGGAAAGAGGAGATTGCAGTCTAGGAATAATGTTTCTCTGAGAGAGAAAGTCCCAGAGGGTGACCAGAAAATCAAGAACCACTTGTTTCTTTCTGTGACAATGTTTTGCATCTAGAAATGCAGTCCAGTGACCTCCATACAGAGTATAGATTGAGCAAACAGAGAACTCCTAAAGGCTGATGAAGGGATTAATTCTTCTGTAATAATCACGTTGTATTCTTCTCCAAGGTCTTTCATCTATAGATCTCAGGAGGTTTTGCAAACATTAATTAAATGTTACAACATTCCTTTGAAGTAAATATTATTACATCCATTTTTCAGATGAGAAAACTGAAAGTCTTAAGAGTCTTGCCTAGGGGTTACCCCACAAGATTCTTAGAGGCCAGTCATCTCAAACCTGAACTGTGCAAAGCTCTGGGCCTCACAAGGAGCAAAAACTGAGACAATCTGAAAGTGCTATCCCCAGGCTCTGAGAAAGAAAGGCTGCTGAAGAACATTACTTGCACTGGTCCACAAGGTCTAGAAGAACTCAGGAGGGCTTTTGTCTCATCAAAGGGATCAGGCCCAAGAACCATAAGATCCAGTGATTAGACTTTGTGAATCATTCCTTAGCCCCTAAGTAAGATGCCATCTCTCCTCTTCCAAGCTATCAAACACCATTGTTATAATTTATTTTATAGTCTAGCTTGGGTTATAATTATTTATGTTGGTGTCTCGTTTTTCTCACAAAGCTTCAGACAAGACTTACACTGTCCATTCTGCTGGTATATAGTATGAGCTCATAAGTAAATATGGTTTGAATTTGAAGTAAAGTTGGTGGGAAAAAGAGCAGTAGACAAATTCTAAAAGGTGGAAAGACCAAAGCTGATAACGTTTTTGTCCTCCCCAAGACAACAATAAGGCCTGCCCCACAATCTATATTTTCAGGTCAGTAAAGGTACTTCTGGGTTTTCATAATTGCCAAAATCTCCATTTTTACTCCAAATACTGATGTTCAGTTGGGATGTTCAAGCCTGGCCAGAATTTAGTGAAGGACTTTCATGGAAGGCTACATGGGTGATAAGTATATGTGGTAATAATAGATCTTTATATGAGTATCATACTTTACAAGTTTACAAAGCATTTTTATAAGCACTTTCAAAATTGATCCTATAAAGCCACCATTATGCAGACAATAGAGATGTCATTATCTTAATTGATTGAGGAGTTTCATCAAGGTTAAGTGACCTGTCCTGGGTCACACAACTACTAAATAACAGAACTGAGGCAGAAACCAAGAAACCCGGTGGAAGAGAAGAATGACCAATCGCTATTTTCTACAACCTCCTTTTTTTTTTTTAGCCTTCCAAAACTGGGATTTTCTTGTGCTTTCTTTCTTCTTTGCCCAGATTTGTTGCTTGTGATCTATGCATCAGTAGTGTCCCCAGCAGGGTCCACACTAAATCTCTTTTGGTCCTACTGAGCCCTCATCACCCTGTGGGCAGTATATGTCCAGCTGGAAACACAGAGCTCACCTGAACCTTATTTGTCTTTAAAGGAAAAGTTGAGCAGCATGTGTGATTTTACTCATTTAGAAACTGACTTTATGAAAGACCAAAAAGAAGATCCCCATAAGAGTTGTCATTTGAAAATTTATTTGAATATCTTGGTGCAGTTGTCCGAGTTCAAGGTTCACAGATGGGAGAGTTTGATTCCAGCCCCAATGCCACCAACCAATTATGGGCTTTTGCTTTCATTCCATCAGTATTTAATGAGCACCTACTACATGGTCAATACTGTGCTAGGTTCTAAGGACACAGAAATAAATAACACTTGTTTCTTACTCCCAAAGAGCTAATAGTATATTAGACAAGATAAAGAAGCAAGCAGATAACAGCATGACAATGTAGTGCATGATTCTATGGAGGTGCAATATTGCAGTGGGAGCCGGTGGGGTAGGTATCTAGTCTGAGAAGTATTCCCAGAGCCCAAGACCACCACAGGAGCAGGGCCCTTCTGAGCACAGGGCCCTGTTCTACTGCATGGTTCACACACTTGTGACACCAGTCCTGCCTAGACATTCTTTGTGTTGCATAGTTTCACTCTTGAGAAGAGTACAAACCCAAGTGGGCACAATAAAGTGGGCAGAAATTGAGACACTCAGAGAGCTCAGTGAACTGAAGCTACCAGATAGGAGAAGTGATGAGGTAGGAGAAAAGCTGAGCAAGGAATTCAGCAGCCTCTGCAGAAAGAAGTCCTGGGGTGAAGACAAGCTGAAGCTGCCAGAGTCACCTAAGGAGCAGCAGTGGGCTTGCACATGAAGAGACCCTCATGTGGAACAGGATGGGGCGACTGTTTTCAAAATGGCAGCAAAATGTTCCCAGCAAACTGAGGCTCAGCTTCACAGCCAGAGGCTTTCCTCACTCTTCATTTCTCCATTAACATTCAACTCCCATAGTCTGTGGAAACAGCATTTCTCTCACTCTTGCAAACTGGATAAAACTAATCCAAATATATAAAGATGCTTCTAAATACTTATAAAACATCACACTTCATACAAGAGAAACTTTAAGCCAAAAGACTCCACTAGCAGCAAAAACAAAGACAAAATTAGTCATGCAGGTGGGTGAGGATGTGGGCATGGGCTACACTCTTCACAGTGCTGTCTGCACCTTGCAGCGACACCCCCAAAAGCACCATCATTGCACCCCCCCACCCAAGCCTCTGCCTACTTCTCAGACTTCACCTCTCCTAAAACAGGAAGCATTGGTTACTTGATAATTGCATGGCAATAATTCAACCCCACTCTCTGCCCAACCAACCCCAGTCTCTGTTATTCCACAACGAGCTTTCCATGCTAAGCCTTTGAGCCAATCAGCTTCATAGTTTTCAAGTCAGTAGAATACCATCATTAATTAGAGATTAAACATCAGCAGTCTTTTCCCCTCTAATAACACTAATATTCTGGTTATCCATGATGATAATTAACCTTCTTAACCCTAGGAAGCCTTCCTCAACACAATAGACAATTATCTCTGTTTAGTCACCTTTTTAAATTCTAGTATTAATGTTTAGGTCAGTCCTCCTTTCAGGACAGCGATAGCTGCTCCCTGTGACACTCTCCCAACCGAAAATCTCATATGACAGTCATTATCGTCCCCAGCATGCTTTCAGGAAGTTGCTTTCTTCTTGCTACTTGGCAGTCAAATTTGAGAGAATGAACTTCCAGGTGGCAAGCTGCTAAGAAGCCTCTAAGGCAGATCAGGTTTTCCTATCCAGTGTCCTGGTGAGGAAAGAAGGCAAATTACCTGTCAGAGGTCTTGGAGCCAGGTGAACACCCTCTCTTTCCTCTAGTATCTGACCCACCCAACCACATTCTGAAACACAGTATTACTTTGTTCATTAATTCCCTCCACAGCATTTGCTGAGTGCCCAAGATGTGTTGGTCCTCTGCTAAATGCCATCCATCCAGACATGAGGAAGAAGAAAGCCAGTTCACCAATCAGGGCCTGATTCAGCTACGTGTGCTGCTGAAAGTGATTCTTTCGTCCATTTGCTCAAGAAATATTTAGCAGGGATTTGTGTAGAGCCCTTTAAAGACCTGCTTAACTTCACTTTTTCTACGAGCACCCCTCCAACCCACTCCCCATGGGTACTAAGCTCTCCTTCAACAAAGAGCCTGCGTTGCCACTTAAACTTCTGCCTTTCATTAGAGCTACTTGTGTGCTATAAAAACATTTCTTGCCCAATTTTGTATTGTCAGCAACAGTGCATGGTGCAAAGTAGATTCCTTAATCAGGGTTTGTTGAATTTAATATATATTCACGATGTATGAGGCAGGAGAGGAGGAATGACAATTACTAACGATGGTCATGGCTGTTACAATGATGAGAATTACTGAAACAATAATAGCAAAAGTGATGTTTCCCAAGAGCTCTCCATGTCTGTGCATCTGTAAGAATGCAAATAGTTGTGACCCTTGTTCTCCTCGGCTCTTCTAAGCAGAGCCATGTTCATCCCTTCATGTTTGGACAATCTTGCAAAGAGCTAACACATCTATTCTGTTATTTAAGCCCCTTGGGAAGCCAGTAAGACAGGCACAAAAAGGATGCTTATCCCATTTACCACGGCCAACAGGGGAAGTGACTGCTCCAGATTCAAGAGTTAACAAGTGATAGAGCCTGTGTCAAACTCTCTATTCTTAGTTTGGGGTTCTTGGCATTGAACATACTAACACACTGTTATAAATCATAATAATTATAGAAAGCCAAAACTGACAGAACTGCAATTAAAGATGGCCTTGTTTTTACCTTCAAAAATATATTTTCGGTAACTCTCCAAATGTAGTTGATTTGTATAAATCTAAACTGGGCTGTATATTTGTTAATAGTCCTTAATAAACAGACTCAGTTGTACCACCATGCAAAGAACACAGGTGAGAAGGGTTTACTGAGGCTCATTTGCATTCAGTTATCAAAATAAAATATGAAAAGTACCTCACATGAGAAATCAGAACTTTTCAACACTGATATTTCACAGTTCAGTGATCCTTAATAATTCTAGAGAAACCAGTGCCTTTCCATATCTGTAACTGTTCTTTGCACACATCTATTAGAGAGAATGCTGATGGATAAATAAAAGCAAATTGCTACTGACATGCAATATTGGTTCAGGTTTACGATTTAACAGCTTGAGGACAATTTGTGGCTAAGTTTCTCATACTTATCATGTCACGGCTGCAATCTATTTCAGTTTAGAGGAACTTTTTTGGTCAGTTTTACACTATGCAAAAAACAAAAACTGGCCATGCAAATAGAGATAAGCTAATACATTTTAAATAAAATTAGAAAATAATATTTACATCTTTTTAGAACCTGAAATCAGATATATACTGGAGCAACCTTTTAATTAGCAGTTATTTTTTTTTTCCACTAGAATATGTTGAGATCGAGGTACCTGCACCACTATATGTGCGTTTTGGTCCCATTGCCCTCTCATTTTCTATCCAGTTTAGAGGGGTAAACTGGGGAAAAGTGGGAAAGTAGGAATTGATTAGACAATTGTGGACTAGAATAAATTTCCCTATCATATGTCTGTTAGATGTGGAATAATCTCCCTACCTAACATGTCTCTATTCCAAATGTTCTCTCAGTATAGGAAACTTAAAAAGTGGGATACTCCTGGCTTCTCTGCACCCCTATCTGGGCCACTTGGAAGTGGGCCCATGGCCTGTGCGCCTTCCTGTTTCCTCCCCTCTTCTCTCCTGAGCCAGCCTCCCCCAGAGAATATGCGTTCTCAGTTGTCCTTGATCCAGTGTAAACTAAGCAATCAGGTCCTTGAACATGTGGGAGGCTTTTCTTGGTGCAGCACGGCTGGCGACAGGTTGGGTAAGTCACGGGAATCCTCTTGGGTTCAATATCAGGAAGCTCACTTGCCCAGAGACGTAAACCAGCCTCTCCAGGGAGGTTAAGTGACACAAGCATGGAACACAGAAGGCGGGGCAGCCGCTTCTTCATCAGGCCCAAGGACCCCCGGCACCTAACATTCACAGCCCTGACGTGTGGCAGGCACTCCATATACCGTTAGTGAATTAAAGGAAAAGTCAGGACAAGAACTTCAGGTGTCTCCGTTTCCGGCTGCTTAGCCCACACTGCTGCCATGGCTACCGAGAGGCGCAGCCGCGTGTGCTGCGTGCCGTGTGCAGACCCTTGGCACACTCCCCACGGGCGGCTTCTGGTCCGCCCCACCCTCCAGCGGAAGCCAATAGCCTGGCAGTGGCGCTGTCTCTCACACGAGGTTTCTTCCCCCATCGGAGGATCTTGCATTTACCACAACCTTCCCCCTTCCCCTTTCTTTCGACAGGTACCACACCGCTGAGGTAACGCCCCTCAAGCAATTTCTCGTTCTCGTGTAGAAACACATCCTCTCTGGTCCTCTTCCTCCTGGTCTCCTTCCAGATCGTTTCCATTTACCACAGGGGGAAGCCTCTCCCCTTCCTCCCTTCTCTCTCATCTGTGCCGTCATGAGCCTCAAACCACTTTCTCAGACTGACAACCCTAGGAGTAGTGAGAAGGATACCTCACGTGAAAGGTGAAGGAAGATTTTCACTTTGTGGTGAAATTAGACATTAGAAAGAACCAGGTTCATCAGCCTCCTGAAGTCTTTGAAAATGCCCAGACGTTACTTTGAGAAATTCTGTGAAAGCCTCAATCAATATCCTCACCTTCTGTTTTTCTTGTACCAATATGCCAGGTAAAAACTCAAACAAAAATACCACCCTATATTTTAAATCACTAGAGTATGTTTTACTATTTTTAACACAAATATACCATGCTTCAATTATATTATGGGGACTGGAAACTTCAGAGAGATGGGCTGGGGCTCCAGCTGCTATTTAAAGCATTATCTAACAAGCACTCCCTGAACCTCAAAGAACCGATTCAAATACCCCTGGACCCAACACACAGGTAAGTTTCTTTGTGATCCTTAGAGAATCCCTCAAGATGCTCAGTAGCTAGAGTTGAAAAATGGAAACATGCAGATCAATCATTTGGAACAATGTACCTCTTCTCAAAAAATGGTCATTTATTGAATTCAATCAAACAATTTTTATAAGGCAGAGTATTCATCCTGGAGGATTATGTTTTTTTACTTCGGGCACAGAGTTTTACCCTCATCCTAGGTATTCTCAGCCTTCCTCTTGGACCCCAGAGCCAGGTTACATCTGCCAGGCCCTCTGCATGCCTGTTCTCCCAGCTCTGTGGTCTGAGAAGTGGAAGAACACATCTGCACCCTTGCTTACTGTGCACGGTGAGTCCCTTTATTGTTACACCTGTCATGCAACATACAACAGGGCTCGGGACACAGTATGGCTACAGAACAAAATTTTTTAGGAAAACTTACAAGGTGAAGGTCTGCAGGAGAAGGCCTATGGACCAATCTCTTTCTTTTCCATGGAGAGGCATACAAGGGCCAGGCCAGCCTATAGATTTGCCATGAATACATGTTCCCTGTTTAAGAGTCACCCATCAGAGCATACTTATGTGGGGGAACAGTTGATTGCATGGGTGCCAAGCTGTCTGGCTTTCATAAGCAAGTGGATTTAGGTGTTTACAGGAGTTAGTTGGCAAATCCAAGTATCTGACACCTGCCAACCTTGTGAATCATAGGACGTTGGGTTCAGGAAGAGACCCTCCTTTCTGGGAAAGGAAGCCTCCTGCCAGTTCCCATTAGAAGCTGAATTTGGTGCAGCTTCTCCTGCTGGGAAGGGCAGGGGTCTTTGGTCCCAAATAGGCAATTGTCCGGGAAACCAAGAATGAGTTCCCAGAGACATTTTTAGGCAATCATGCTTATTGCAGCAGAGTGGGACACTGACACTAGTCAAAAATGTATCTGCAGATCAAACTAATTGTTTACTAGGTCCTGTGACTTCTCCTTTTTCAAAGTCACCTTTGAAAGCCACTGCATCTGTCCTTTCCACTCCATCTTCCTGGCCACTGCCCTCCCTCATGTGCTCATTATCTCTTGCTTGGCCTGCTGCACCCTCTCCTAACTGCTCTTCCTTCCTCCAACCTCCCCTACAGCAACCTGTCTTGTGCATCACAGCAAGCTTGACACTCCTGAAGGACAACCCGGACCCTGTTCCTTGTATCAGTCAGGATAGGTTAGGCTACGTTGCAGGAACAGACAACCCCAAAGCTACAGCAGCCTTAAACAACTAGCATTATGTTTTACTGTCACTGCATGGCCGTTGTCTGGCGTTTGGGGATTCAGCTCCCTGTCATTACTGTCCTCATTATGAGATACAGGCTGATGGACCAGCCCCTATTGGAAACATTGCTGAGGATTTGGAAGGGACAAAAGAGAACTCTAGAGGGTCTCACACTGAGAATCAAATGTTTGCCTGGAAGTGGCAGATGCCACTTCTGCTCACAGTTCATTGGTCAGAACTGGTTCATGGCTCCACTCACAGGTGGCCAGGAAATACAATCCTGTCATGTGTCCAGAAGATGTAGACCCAGAAATATTCAGTGAACAGCATTAATGACTATTATATTACCCCATTGCTTAAAAAGCAAGCAAACAAGCAAGCAAAACAAAACAACAAAACTGGTAACTTCCCATGTGTTCCAAGATAAAGTCAAAATTCAAATGCCAGCACTTCCATGAAACCACCTGTAATTCTCCCAGCCAGAAACAACCTCTTCTCTACTCCATAACTTTATAATGACCCAATCTGTGCTCTTCATAGCACTTAGCACAATTTGTCTTCTTTTAAAATGAATAAGATGTATAATTTAGTCATAAGGCTAAATAAAAGGGACTTAAGAGATCATCTTTAGTTCTTAAGTCTTCCATCGACCACTGCCAAGTCTTCCGTAATCTGTTTAACAATCCGTAGTTTGGGGAAAGTCACTACTTCTCAGGTAGCCCAGTCTACCCTTTCAAACTCCAACAGCTCTGATTATTTAAAAAGCAATGATAACACATTTTAAATCCGTCATCATATGAAGCTAGTACCTACATGCTTGTTTCCCAAACAAAGAAACCAAGATACCATAAATAGAATAAGAAACTTTATCTTAAGTAGCAAAAAAATTAGCAAAGAAAAGCTCTGGTTTAATTTATCTGGCTGTGTTGCTCAGAAGCTTCTCAGCTTTTGCACGGTGGTGTGGATAATCACTTAAGAGACCGAGAGGGATGGAAAGACACCAAGGCAACCACCCTGCCTTGTTTACCAGGGAACTCAAGGGTGCCTTTCGCACAGCTGTGGAAAGTGTTTAGAGTGGAAGTGTTTAGACAGAGGCTGTGTGGCCCTCGGCAGATGTGTTGGTGCTGTGACTCACTGTCAGACTGTCAACCTGGACTGCTGGGGACACCATACAATGTGCTCCGGGTGGCCCCTGCACACAGCAGTGGAGGAAACCTGCAGAAGACTCTCCCTTGTTACTGAGCAAGCAGGAGAGCAAAATCCTACTGAGCACGCTGCGTAGCTTTACTGACTTCTGACAGCAAATAACGCAGCCTCTGTCCAGAAGCATCTATAGAGTTTTCTGGTGCCTTCTTTAATTGTCCTGTGGACAAACACAGCTCTTGAAAAGAACACAGACTTTAGAATCATTGCCAGTTACTCACCGTGTGACCCTGGACAAGTCACTTCAATTTCATGAGTCTCACCTATAAAATAAGGCAAATAATACTTTCTCAGACTGTACTAAGGATCAGGTGGTAAGCAAAAATGCCCTGCTATGACCTGGCTCGATGAATCGAAGCTCCTCCTACCATTTATTTCCTTCCTTTAGCCTGGAGCAACCCAGGCCCTTGACCGGGACCTGGCACATTGGAGGCCCCGGAACACAGGGCCTCTCCTCCAAGTATTCTCCTCTCCACTGGGTGAGGAGGTCATGGGCCCAGGGAACATACCCACCCAGAGTCACGTTCCACGTCTAGACCACTCTCCATGAACCCAAGATCCAGAATTCCCTTCCACATGACCATGAATCCACTTGTTGCCTCAGGTCTGTCCTGGAGAGGAAAAACCATGGAGCTAGTGTGTGCACCTCTAGGCTAAGGGCAGCTGTGTCCAGGGTGTAGGGGTGGGTGTAGGGGTGGGCTAGAGCGGGGACTGGGCTGCGGGTGGGTCTTAGTCCTGAGGCTGGAGCCCACATGCACCCTTATGATGCAGAAGCAGTTGCGACCGGGGAAAGTAGGGGTGAGCTACAAGCCAGGGCCTCATTTTGTACACTAGCCCAGGCCTTCACAATTATTAGGGGCAGAACTTGTTCCCACTCTTCCTTATTTCTAATCCTAACCTAATCTAATGTAATACCTGATTCTGAAGCTTCAGAACTTCTTTCCTTTCTATGGTTGAATAATTTTCCACCGTAGGTATGTATTACAATTTGTTTATCCATTCATTTGTTGATGGACATTGTTTTTTTCCCCATCTTTTGACTGTGAATAATGCCACTATGAACACTGGGGTACAATTGTCACTTTGAGTCCCCGTTTTCAGATTTCTGAGGTACGTATCCAGGAGAGGAATTACTGGGTTATATGATAACTCTATGTTTAACTTTTTGAGGAACCACAAAACTGTTTTCTGCATGGCTGAACAATTTTACATTCCCACCAGTAATATATGAGATTCCATTTTCTCCACATCCTCACCAATATCTGTTATTTTCTTGTTTTGCTTGTTTGTTTTGTTTTGTTTATTATAGCCGTTCTAGTGAGTGAGAAGTAGTACCACATTGTGGTTTTGATTTGCATTTCTCTAGTGACTGAGGATGTTGAACATCTTTTCACATGTTTGTTGGCCATGTGTATATCTCTCTTGGAGGAATGTGAAGGATAACCTTTAATGAGTCCACTGACATTCCAGGGAAAATGAAAAGGAAGTAATGCCAACACTAGCTTGAAACTACCTCTAATATCCAGGCTACACTCCCATCTCCCGTCTTGTCCTTAACCTGCTTTCTTGAGGCCGGGTGCAAGCACCATACTAGAAGAATCACTCCAGACGTCTGCATGATTTACAACTCACTACGCACTACTCAACACATACAACCCCCTGCACACTCCTCCCTCCCTCTACACCCACACCCACATAAACACACCCCATTCTCATTTTCAGCCCCAGGATTACATAGCAATTGGGACCTGGATTCCCCTAATGCAACAGCCCAACTCTCGGTGTGTAGTCTGCTCCAGGGCCCCAAGAAAACTATTACACAGCAGTGTATACTGCATGCTCTCCAAACGCTGCAATACCCAGGGTTGAGGAAGAAAGCCACACCTCACCCCATTCAGGTGGGCACTCCAGGCTCAAGTCTGCTCTTTTCAATGTCTCCGAACACCACCTGTAGTAGTGAGAAAGGAGCTATGGAGAGAAAATGATCAATGCCACTCCTCTATCCATTTATCATGTGGGAAAACTAAAGCTCAGAGGGTGACAGACTTACCCAAGGGCACAACCCAATATGGGTCTAGAGCTTGGGTCCTCAACTGCCCACACTTTGCTTCCATAGCACAATGTGACAAAACAAATGTTTAGACACACTTATGTTTAGATCACCAATTTAGGCCATGATCTGAGTCTAGATCAGTTTATTCTATGCCTTGGTTTTTCTCATACAAAATGCAGTGGACAATAACTGCTCTTCCTTTCCCCCAGGAGAGCTAATGAAATTACACACACACACACACACACACACACACACACACACACACATTCACATATTTGCTTAGAG